GTATTCTAGCATTCTCGAATGCAAGTCATAACGTATTGTAAACTTAAGACTAAGAGTGTATTGTATTGTACAACAATGCATGTCTTCAACACTTGGCATTCTATGGTGTTTTATAAAGTTAGGTTAGGATTTACGATTCTACGAGTGAACCTTCATCAGTTTTCTCGTTTACTGCAATAATGAACCGATGTTAAGCTTACAATGATGAGGATATAGTTAAGTCTCGCCCACTAATATTCAGTAGTAATTAACACAACTTGCGTCATTGATAACTTTCATTAGGCCTATTGATCGTTGACGAAAAACTATTGAACTAATAATAACTAATCTTTGTTAACAGCATGTCAACGTTCCTAAAACTAAAGTGAAAGACAGAAGTAGAAATTTTGCATTAAATTAATTAGAAATTAAAATTATAACTACAAACTTTTTAACTAAAGAGGAGACTGTGTCAAAATTGAAAATTGTATAAATTTGTCGCCAACTTCTAACAAATTTAAGTCAACACATAACACAAGTAGCCTAATACATAACAAACTTCACTGAACCAATTTTTGAAGCAAACAGTCTCGGGAGCTTGCAAAGAGGTTTTGATTATACTAAATTAACTCGAGCTGTTAATTGAAACACAAAGCTTTCTCGGCTCATTTTAATTAAAAATTACTGCCACAGCAAAGAGTCATGTGTTGGTTGGATCTCTGTCTAACGACTTGACACTTTAAACATTAGTGACACCAAGATTTCTTTGTATCGGATTTTTGCTTGATAATATTTAACGACCAAAGGAATTTAGACTTAAAACTATAAACACGATTTTCATTAAAAACATTTTTAACCAAGTCGATAAAGGTGAAAAATACGTGACTTTAAATAGAGTTTTGCGTTCAACCAACGTCGACTCGATTTGAACCCGGGACCTCGAAGTACGAAGTCCTGCACTCTACGACAACACCAGCTTCCAGATACGGGCACCCACTTCTCGTTAACAATATTCGATTCCAAACCTGTCCAGGCGGCAAATGTGGCGAAGACCTTGACTTCAAAGACGAGGGGCGCCACGGCGTCCAACAGGAAATGTACCTCATACCCGGCATAGTAAACAGTGGGTGGCCGGCGATGCTGGAGTTGGAGATCAAAGGAAAACTGTCGTTCCTTGAGGTAATACGAAAAACTCCAGTACTCTGAAAATGTATTGGTTGTTATTGTTTTGTCACCTTTGAACCATTCACAATCCCCATCCCTAGTTAAAGCTGTCGCTAGAAAATTAAAATGGGTTGCATTAATTATTTCTGCCGAATACGCAATCTTCTTTACCAAAGTATAAGTCAAACTGATAAGACGATTTATTGTCAAATCACAGATAAGTAGACCTACTCCACTTCCTTCAATCTGTGGTGAGATACAGCATACTTATTGTCACACGAACATAAACTTGAGGTGAAAATACTGTGAAAAACCAGGAGTCAGCTTGTAAAGTCCAGGAGTTTATAGGGGGTTTTAAGGGGTAAAAATGTTTTTTTTTCATTTTTTACACTAAAAACATAAAATTTAGCAATTTATTTCGAAACCATTATGTAGAGCTAAAGAAACAACAAATAATATAGTAGGCTATATTGAAGCACTGTTGTATACCTAACGATTACGAAAAATCCCAAAAAGTGTAAATTTAAAATGTCCACGTTATTTTCATGGAGAATAAATAAACTGTTGTAACTTGCTGTTGGACATATTTTAATGTAATTCTGTTTCTTTCATACTAAACTATTAATATTTTAATAAAAATCCCCTTATTACTTCCCTGTAGCAGCAAACCTAAGTACTCATTAAAATTAACTACAAATTAATTTAAAAACAAATTTAAAAAAAAAACAAAAAATTTAATTTTAATTTTTAAAATTTAATTTAAAAAATTTGCCTAGTGGTGTTTTTTTTATTTTATTAAAATTAATTATTATCTGTCGTCCAGTGGTCGAAAACTCGACCAGAAACATGTAATGTACACGTATTGACAATTGGATACTGAAGTAGACACCCCACCCCATCTATTAAAGAAAATAACTGGTGACAACTTTAACATGGAGGTGGAATGTAAAAGTACAGGCTTCTCTATTTTAACCTCACGCTGTAAATAAAACAAGCGATTGTAATTTCTTCCATTTGTTTTGATTTTCTGTTTATATTTCGTTGTTATTTCGTCACCAGCATGGCAACCCATAAAGCCCATGTTTATTTTTTTACATTTCAAATCCATTTTTTGTGCTTATATTTGAGCCTATTTTTAAAGGGATTCTGCACTTCTACAGGAAAGTATCTTTCCAACGGTATGCGTAGATTTTCCCTACGATGCACACGAGCTGAGAAAAAAGGTTTTAAAGAAACATGCTTGCCTATTAATACATAGATAGATTATATTTAAATAGGTAATAGATCTGTCAATTTTAAGGGAATAATTTAGTGGAATTCCAGCCGGGTAGATGGAAATTCGCTTAGTCTGCAGGTTTGTTGCAGCGGGGGTAACTCTGGCGGGGGTATTTATTTTATATTATAGGAATATTGTTTAACCAACAATGAAATAACACTCCTTGATTCCTTATCATAGATTTGTTTGAATGTGATTTGTTTAGCCTAAATGTCTCACAGAACTTCTAATTTGGTTTAGGTTAGAAAAACACCCTGTATAACCTGCGAATTTTACAATAGATGAAAAATCTTTAGTTCAAAGTTAAAGATTGAGTGAAAAACTGTTAAACTAAATCGAAACCGCTCATCAGTCTTAAATAACTCTTGACAAACAGCTGACTAAACCATACAATAGTTTGTCCCTATGTATCGACATTTCCTCTACGCCAGTCCCAGGTCATTGTTGATAGCGACTCCACGTGTGCTATCACACTGTTATCACACCAGTTAGCACACCTACGGCTCACGTCCTGCCCGCGCCTCGCCCGTGACGTCACTCTGTTTAATTTAGCCCATTGTTCCGCGCCCATTGTCCACCGTCTACCATCTACAAGAGTTATGACCGATGCTTATCCACTTAATTCTCTTGGCCAATTTACTCTCTTCATGCTCATACGGAATCATATTATAATCTGTGATGAGTAGTTTTGCTGAGTTAATTGTTTGTATGAGATTTGTTGAAGGGCTACAGAGAGAAATTTGAGAGACAAATTTAGATTTACATTTTTGAAACATGGTGGATATTTTAAGGAAATTATATCTTAATTAGGTAGATCACCTGTCTGTTTGGCTATGACCATCAACAACGTATGAAGGACAAGTTTTATACCGTACAATATTTTCAGCTGAACTAACATGCAACATTTAATGTTACGTGGGTGGATTAAGGTATTGTTTTCGCCCAAAATTTTCTAGATTGAGGTTTGGGTTGCTATGTCCGTTTTGGATCCCCCTTAAAAAAAAGTGTTTTTTAGGTGGTGCACTCGTGTGTGGATGTGTAGGCTACAGAGTTACAGACGACCCCTTTGACCCAATTTTAACAAAGCTTGTGTATGTGAGTACAAGTCCACAATCCACGCGTTCTTTTAGTTTTTGTAAATTTGTATATCAAATAGTGACTTTTCCATGTCAAAACCGAAAAAATGGAGCATACAAGTAAGTAAGTTCAAAATTCAGTATGTTATAATACATTTAGCTCTAAAAAAAATGGTACAACCCCAAATGCTGTTAACTTACGATTCAAAACCCGCAGTTTTTGTGATTTTACCTATTAAATAGCATAGGCTAATTACATATGAGTTCAGTAACCAATAGCATTGACTTTAGACTGTCGATAAGCACGGATCTCTTCGTGCTCGCTGGGAGTTGTAAAACCGAGGTCTTTGCACGCTCGACCTTCGAGGAGGTGAGGTTTTAGAAGCGAGACAGAATCATAGCTTAGTCATCAGTGTATGAGTCCTCGCAGAAAACAGCTTTCATAACTCTAGCGAGAACTAAGGAGAAATTTTGAAATTACATTCAACTACTGGAAGTACACTCATTGTGACGAGTGGTGAAACCCAAGTAAGTTTTTGAATCCCTTTCAAACCAGGCAAAATGGATTCAACTTGACTTTTAATAAATGGTCTGGAAATCGCGGTCTTAGAGAAAATGCTTAACTTAAGGCATCTTTCTTTCAAGTATCCCTCATGTGTCATTATTTCGATGTAACGAAATGGTAGATTGAAACTACTATTAAATTGCGCGGCCTCAATTTTGGGTGAAAAGTTAATTGTGTGTTATTATTTTAAAACAAACCCTAATTGATGAAAAGTTGTAACATGCAACAAAGGTATGGATTAGCCTCAATAATTTAGTCAACCCGTAAAGAACAACGTACAGTGTGAACTGGAGTTTGTCAATATGTCCCTTTTATTTGTTTGTAAACGGATTTTCCATTAACAGTAGGCATACATTAAAACATAATTCTGCGCAACAACTTATCTAGTTGAATTCATAAGTACGGTGAAAATTACTACAGAAAACAAGATTTAAGAAATTGGCAAAAAAAAAACTACTTCCCGTAAATAAATACAAAATGGTGTGCTACATAGTGACATAGTAGCAACTAGTAGGTATACTACTCCAAAATTCTCTGAAAATCACTTCTGTCTACTGTGCTCTTCGTTGTCTAATAGTAATAACAAATTATAACGTTACCTTCTACATACATTACACTCTCTTGACATACATTTGGATTTGACACTGCATAGCTTACATTGTTATGTTAGAATGTTGGTACACTAGTCTCGATGGTAAGTCTCTATGATATGGATATTATCAAAGGACTTGCTATCAAGGTAGACATTTTATCGAGGTTAGCATTAGCCTGTGATTAAAACAATCGGGGTACCGCCGTGCCGGTAGTACAAAATCAAGGGTTGTTTCGAAACGACACGCGTTGGGTCATTGATATCGTTATCATGTCAAAGAGGGGGGGGGGGGTTATCGTGCTTGTTATCGAGGTATTAATGCACACCAAAGTTTCAGTGACTCTTTACCTTTGCTTGGAATGTGATTCCGTGTTGGAAAGCCTCGTCCGAATGTAGGGGAATCCTGGTGTCGTAGTCGTCATTCTGCACAAGATTATACTGCTTTTTGGAGGGCATCTTGCTGTACACTTCACCCACTCACTCAGAAAGTGACATCACAAACCAAAACCCGCACCAACCGGCAACACTGCACCAACGTAAACAAAGCCGAAATAGCAAGCCGGCTAACCTCAAAATTCTAAAAACTGGCAATCTAAAAACGTATTTCGTTTTTGGGTGACGAATATTTTACTAACTTCTAAAACTGTTGAATTATTCTACATTCGCGATCCACTATGTATAACCTAAAACCTACGTTGAAATACTACACCAGATGGACACGGGTTTATTTTTAGACGAGCGCCTTTACAATACTTTGACACTAGCTGGGGCGCACGCGTTTCTACGGAAAACTGTTTAATCCACATTCCCAAATACGTAGCCAGCCGAGCGGAGGACGACGCCGGTACACGGTCGGTGGCGACAGCGACGGAGCGCGCACAGTTCTGGCGGGAACGGGAAGGGCGACTGGAGACAAACGGCGGGAGTCGGCGCGCCGCGCTGATGCTACCTGGCGGACAACGCTGGAACTACCAGCGCTGGACACAAGGTCGACCTTGTGACGTCATGATGTCCAGTATACGGAACTGGTGTCGTGTATGTTTTACCATGAAAACCCCCTAACTTTGTGTATGTTTTACCATGAAAATACTCAACTTTGTGTATGTTTCCCAATGAAAACCCAAACTTCGTTAATGTTTCAAAATGGAAAAACTAAATTTGTGTATGTTTCACCATGGAAAAACTAAACTTCGTGTATGTTTCACCATGGAAAAACTAAACTTCGTGTATGTTTCACCATGGAAAAACTAAACAATGTGTATGTTTCACCATGGAAAAACTAAACTTCGTGTATGTTTCACCATGGAAAAACTAAAAAATGTGTATGTTTCACCATGAAAAACTAAACTTCGTGTATGTTTCCCAACTTATTGTATGTTTCACCGTGGGAAAACTAAATTTAAACTAACTTTATGCAATATGTATAATCATTTCGAGTTTTCCTTCAGCAGTTGCCAACAGTTTAGAAAATATTTCCTCTCCAACCCAGGCGAGCGTTCCTGATGAATTAGATTGTACATTATAAGCTTATCTACAATGTTTTATGTTTTTATCTTTGTTATTATTGATCTTATATGTATTTATTGCTTGTTATAAATTATTATACTACTGAAGGTGGGTTTCCATCGTATCATTGTCAATAATACTCATTTAGCAATTACTTTATTGAAATACTTTGTGAATGACTTGGCCAGTGGAAATGATCAAATAAAATTAAAACTTTTCACAGTGGTATTTAAGTACCAGACCAGTACAAAGGCGACAAGCATACTTAAATGCACTTTTTTATACTATATAATACAATTTCACCAGATCGAAATATGATAATCGAGACACAAAATGCAAGACATTTTTTCCTGGTGCATGTATTAAAATTGCAAATTTACCAATTATCGTACGAATAAGATAATTTAGAAACGCTACCTAATCAATATTGTGGATTAAAACCTATCAAAGATTAAACTAAACCCGGCTTTGTTGGGACGTCAAACTCGGGTATGTTGGCGACATTCTCTGCGATAAAACGTCAACAAGATACGCGTGTGACTGATGGTGTGCAAACTTGGAATCGCTTCGTGTTTCTACTTTGTTTAAAATTTTTCGAAAATTTATGAAAAATCAAATATCAAATATCTTTGTAGCATCTAATTATTGTTTGGCTAAAATACTTTGTAGGTTAGATTGTTTAGTGAGAGTAGGATTTTATTTACAATTTATTTATTACTTAATTGAATTCTTGTTCTTGTACTTGATAGAGTATTTTTTTTGATAGAGTACATTTGAATTTGGAGTATTATGTAATTAGTATAGTATTTCCTTCTAGGTTCTACCGAAATTGTTTTCCACAATACTTTAGGCTACGTCTAGAGGGGGCTGTGGCATTTTCACTTAGAATTTCATTAGTGGTTGACCGGATTTGAACTCAGAACCGTCGACCGAAGTCCCATGCTCTACGACTAGACCAGCTCACTTCCCCAGTATGGTACTATAAATATGACTGGCATTGTTTATTGTTATTATATTGCATTTTAGGAATCATTTTCAAACGTCAATATTAATGGTAAGACAAATTATGCAATCATTCTTTCTCTTCAAAATAACACGATATTGATTCTACATAATATTCAAATTAGTAAAATTTATTATCAAATCCAAGACAAAATTATATTTTGTATCAATGATGAAACTCTTTGAATGATTTCTCTAAAAGATTTTAAGGATTATTCTCATTTAAACATTCAATGCATTAAAAACAATAATACAGCATGCCTAAACATAAAAAAGTATATTTCACCACTAAAGTGACTCAGTCACTTTTTGCCCGTGTGCTATATTTTTCGTCATATCGCATCATTAGTTAACAAACAAAGCTAGATAACTAAATAATTTGTATGTAAAGATACCCTCTCAAAACGACATCCAGCTTGTTTTCAATTCCGCTAATCCAAATAAGCAGCTGTTTAGTAAGTGGTTCAATCATTTCGTCTATTACGATTATATTACAGTACATTATACCATCGATATGTCGAACAATCGACAACAATAGGCTAAAACCATACGTAATAAATCAATCGATAAACAATTTCGATCGATACGATTGCCACAATCAAAATTTACAACTTTTTGCACCAGCTGATTTTTATTCCCTAGAGACTAAAAATAATGTTTACTCCCTAGAGAGTAAAAATGCTACTTTAGACCCGCAACGCATGCATTTAAACAGCTGTTTTCGCTACAGCATGACGAAAATTCTATTTGCGATAAGGTATTCAAAGTCCATGATAAAGTACGTAGGTCTCCATCAACAATATTATATTATTCAATCTATTTGAATTATTCACTTGAGATAACGATAGGTTTTCTCGGAAAATTGAATCGCTTTCAGAAGATGAATGCAGTTGCCGCATTGCCAGTGAATTCGATTACAGAGAAAGGCAGAGAGGTAGGGAAGAAGATTCAAACCTAATTTATCAACTTACAGAAAAGAAGATTAACCTAGTAACAGGAACAGTTCATACATTTCAATCATAGTGAAGTTTGGTTCAATCCGTTTGTAGAGACTATATACAGAGTGAATCTAGTAGTACAATTTTTGTTTTCAGACAAACCGTTGGTCATAGCTACAATGATAAAATAAGTTTTTCCATCTGAACCAATTTTAATGAATAACGTAAACGTATTTTTTTATTTTTTTATCCAGCACAGGATGTTCAAAACTCAAAGGTCAAATAAAAACATTATTATACATAATTCCCAAGCTTTTTTAATACACGTATTTTGGTGATATTAGAATTTGGCTGTTTTATTCGTTTCAAAATGGCAATACTTAATGTTTTAGTTTACTCCATTTATCACTTACCATCAATCTTTCTCATATAGGCGAAAATAGAAATATACTTAGATGAATGGCCCACCCATCTAGAAACGAGATACGAGATCATTATATACTAATAATGATATATACATGTTTGTAAAGCTAATGAAGTAAGGAATTAAAAAAATCATAAATTTTATGGTAAAAATAATTTTTTACCTATAAACATACGTATATAAAATAATGTTTTTATATTTTAGCGATTTCTCGAGAAAAAAAATTGGCTTATTGACTAATTTTAAAATTGGCTTCTCCTTATTCAAAGTGTATCATAATTCGAGCTTCTTTAAAGATTTTTCGTTTTTACGGAGTTATTGTATATATTTTATCTGACATCTTAGAAAGTTGGATTTGCCTACAAGCTAACTTTTATAAAGACCAGGCTCTCACTTAATTCTGATTTAAATACTCAGTTCCGATTGGAGTCTGGTGATATCCACGAACTATAGTTGGAAGCTTTCTGTTTGAAATGCTCTTTGAACCTTTGAGAAATATGTTTATTGGGTTCATACTCATGTAGATATTTTGAGATAAATTACATTTTCAGCTACAAGCTGTAGAACTCTTGATGGATGGTGTCCAGTTGATGGATGAGGATGATAACTACTGGTCAAGCATCGTATAGTTTATTTATGGCAAGATTTTAGTAGAAATATTTTCGAAATATATGTAATCCTGTATAGGTTTTTTACTATAAATGTTAATATTTATTTGACTAAATGAAAACAAAATCGGCTGTTGTTATTCAAGATTTATTTATAAGGAATATTCTTCAAACCTGATTTAAATACATTAACGAACAAAGTCTTATGGGTTTTAAAGCTGGCCATGTATTTAATTAAAAATGAATTTATTAATAAGTTAACCAAGAATAATTATCGTAAAAAACTTTAAGTAGTTAAAATATGGAAAAAAATATTACATGCACAATATTTTTCATAGAACAACCAGGTACAATATTTTATATCACGCCTTTGTATTCATAGTAAGTTATTAAAATTCTAAGAATTACTCATATTATTTGAAGGCGTAAAAAATATTCATTTTAACCACATTTAAATTCAATAATGTACTGAAAGTGGTCTATTTTTACGCTGTACAAAATGTCTGTCTGTGTAGAAAACCCATTATTATTCTGAATCCAACTGATAGAAAACATTGAAATTTAGTTACATTCTCCCTAAAACATGTTAGAATTATCTTCACAGTGTGACATAAAGGCTTTTGACAGATCATTGCCAAAACCTGTAACAACTCAAACCCTACTAAACACAATAGAAGCTGATTGCGTCATCAGAATTTGCTTTTGGCTGCCGATGATTGGCTTATCGTCTGAATTGACGACCAATCAGGATAACCCGACCACACAGTAGCTGTTGAGTTGTAAATATTTACGAGTTCATTCTAATATGTATAGGCTTTTTTAAATGTATTATGATTAATAGTCAAAGGTATCATACAATGAAAAATACTACACATATCAAACCAATATTTTCTAGAATTTTGCAAGAAATACAATCATGTGTCATGCATCAAAGTATATAAGAAATTAAAGAAGACTTAAAAACTAAAGTAAATAGCCGTTGGTAATGTCTAATATTTGAAAGTATTGTCTGATAATACCACAAAATTACGATGCATTATGACGGTTAGGTTATGTTAAGTAAATGTTTAGTTAGGTTGGATTAGTTTAGTTCATTATCGTGACAAACAAAGTTAAATTTGCAGAAAAAGGTTAAGATCTTGTGTAGTTAGTTAATAGCAGTTTACAAATAGAGTTATTTAGCTCCTCTTTCTCGTGTGTTTAGTAACCTAAACTAACCACCGTAACGAACTTAAATATGGTGGCAAACTTCCTCTTGAAAATACTCCCTGCACTTCCTATCTTTTAGATGTGTCGTACTTATTTAAGAAGATAAATTAGATGTGTTCCTATTCGGTAGTTTTGAGTCCATTTCAATGTTTACAAATACCTAGTTATAGTAATTTCACCTAAGTACAAAAAAGCA